GGAGAGGGAGGAGAGAGGCGAGCGAGAGAGTGGGAGAAAGGTGAATTGTATATGCATATTGGTTAGATAATTGTATATTATACATATGTATTTGTATATTCTGGTGAATTATACATATACAAATGTGACTAATTATACAAACTCGAAGTCAGCCCACGTAATTAATGTATAATGTTAGTCGCGAGTGATAATTATAGCAAATTATAGCTATGATGAGTAATTCAGTAGTATAAGTTTGCTTAACCGCATAATTTTTCCAAAAAAAAAAGGCTCACCACAAAATCAATTTTTTCTGCTGCTGTCCAATTGTATATTCTGAACCAAAGGTCGTGTACAAATGAAAAAGACCATCACCTTTTTTAATTGATAAAAAAAATCATGAAATAATTATAAACATTTATAAAAAGTTTCAGATTTTGAGATCTATGAATATCTCTCTTATATATGTCAAGATTCCATCCGCAGTTGATTGGGCGCACATGTGTATATATATATACACATATACCAACTGTTGATGGATGGGATCTTGACATACATATATAAAGGGTATCTATACCGTAATTAATTTTATAATTTCACAAATACCTTGCAAACAGGAACAAAAATGAAATGAGAGCAAATTAATAGCTTACATATAGTGGCACCACCACGTCTCGCTCAGTAGTTGGAGAAATCTAAAGGTAGACTCAAAAATAGAACAAATTGATTAACTCACTGAAGCAACTTTAGAATGGTAATAAAGAAAATGTGACTTAGTAATATCTATATATACTACAGGTTTTGGATATGCTGGTAGGAGAAATGTGCCCACTTTGAAGAATTTGGCTCCCCTTGGTTATATTTTTCTCAGTTTAGTTAAGTACACTTATAGATAAGAAGTATGTGTCATATTTTTAATTATTAAAGGTCAAGGTTATATTACATTGACAAGAATCGTAACCATAGTTAAGTCAATAAATTTTGGAAAGCTACTCTCCAAATTTGGTAAGAATAGGATATTTCGCGTATAAATTTGGAGATTCATTCATATCATTAATTTTATTTTATATTTTTATGTTTAAAAATTAAAATTTTGGAACATGAATCTACCAACATATAATCTGTTTAAATATATATATATATATATATATATATATGTCAAACCGCTAAGTCAAATAGAATCGACGAACCAAGTCAAATCGAAGAAAAAAATGACTTAGAGATTTGGTTTGGTGTCCATAGAAAGAATTAACTCCAACCTGGCATGGTTTTGAGGTTCACTCAAGATCCAGATTTTCTCTATGATTATTAATTACATTTACATAAGGAATATTTAACAAAGTAGAGTAGTACTTTGTGTAGACATTGAAATTTTGTAGGACTCTACAAGACGTGTTTAATGAGTTGGAACTCTATAAGGTGTGTTCAATTTCAATTAGAATTCTTAGAGGCTACTCAACCCTAAACCCTAGTTCATGCCTATATAAAGGGTACTATATTCCCTTGAAAAGGCATCTCGAATATCTCAAATATTCCACAAACTCATGGAATATTCATAAAGAGATCAAATACAAATCATCTTAATTCGAGAAATACGCCACTAACGGTCGTCAAATTATGTATATCAGGTCCAAATCATCTTAGTTTGAGAAATACGTCACTAACGACCCTCAAATTATGTAGATCAAGTCCAAATCATCATAGTTTGAGAAATACGCCACTAACGACCTTCAAATTATGTCAAAATCATCCTAGTTAGAGAAATACACCACTAACGTCCCTCAAATTATGTAGATTAAGTCCAAATCATCCTTAGTCAAGAAATACGCCACAAACGGCCCTCGAATTATGGATAAATATCTTATGAGAGAAGAATCAAGGGATCTACAGAATTGTATCCGCATTGATTTATCAATAAAATATTCATGTTTCTTCAGATTTTATTTGTGTGGTTTATTTATTTTTCATATGTTTAAAATTTGTTGCAAACAAATTGTCACTCCCAGTGGGACCAAATTTTGCCCTTCATCTCTTCTCTCTTAAATTAACTCTGAAAATCTAAAGCTACAAAGGTGGAAGAATGGGTACTTCAAGCCTCATCTTTAAGTTTCATCAAGTCTACACTCCAATAAGCCTTGAAGCAGGGGGCATTTGTAGACATTGAAATTTTGTAGGACTCTACAAGACGTGTTCAATGAGTTGGGACTCTATAAGATGTATAAGATGTGTTCAATTCCAATTAGAATTCTTGGAGGCTACTCAACCCTAAACCCTATTTCATGTCTATATAAGGGGTACTATATTCCCTTGAAAAGGCAACTCGAATATCTCAAATATTCCATAAACTCATGGAATATTCGTAAAGAGATCAAATCCAAATCATCTTAATTCGAGAAATACGCCACTAACGGCCCTCGAATTATGTAGATCAAGTCCAAATCATCTTAGTTTGTGAAATACACCACTAATGGCCGTCAAATTATGTAGATCAAGTCCAAATCATCATAGTTTGAGAAATTCGTCACTAACGGCCCTCAAATTATGTAGATCAAGTCAAAATCATCCTAGTTTGAGAAATACGCCACTAATGGTCCTCAAATTATGTAGATCAAGTCCAAATCATCCTAGGCCGAGAAATACGCCACAAACGGCCCTCGAATTATGGATAAATACCTTATGAGAGAAGAATCAAGGGATCAACATAATTGTATCCGCGTTGATATATTTATCAATAAAATATTCATGTTTCTTCAGAATTTATTTGTGTGATTTATTTATTTTCCATATGTTTAAAATTTGTTGCAAACAATTTGTATTCATTAATAGTCTTGTGAACTCTGTGGATCTTTGTTTGATAAAATAGATGATGGTTTCCTGTGTAGGCTTGAAAAAAAATCCAACCATTCTTAATTTGGTTTGATATTATAGAAAGATTAGATTGATATATATATATAAAAGCATAATATCAATGTTGGTTGACCAAAATATTTTCTAAATATTGAAAGATTTTATATCCTTTATGAGCTCCATATTAAAAATTTGATGTCCCTAACTTGAAATTTAAATTACTTAAATACCTTTATCCTAATTAAAAAAGAAGTTATTAACTTAAAAATTAATATATTGTTGTAAATATATTTATGTTAACTTCAAGGTATAATTACAAGATATATGTACTCTTTTTCCTTCACTAGAATTTTTTTCACGGGATTTTTCCTAGTAAGGTTTTAATGAGGTATTTTATCGGACATCCAAGGGGGAGTATTGTAAATATATTTATTTGGATGTCTATAACTTCAAGGTGTAATTACAACATAATGTATAGTAACTTCCACACCTCCATAACTTTCCCCCTTGATATTCCTCCATAACCTACATGGTTAATGTCTCCATAACTTTTGTGGTTAATGTCATGTTTTTTACTAACCTTTTGTATGACTTTATGTAATACTATAAATAGAGGCATTAGAGTTCATATTGGATACACTTGAAGATTTGGTGAACACTTGAAGACTTGGAATAATAAGAAAATCTCTCATCTCTATTGTCTCTATATTTCGAATGTT